GAAAAGCTTGCAAATAACATCACAACTGTATTTAAACTGACCCTGGCGATGACTAAAAATGTGGAAACAGAGAGGAAGCACTTCAGGAACGGCATAATCAGGGCTCCTGCTGAATGCTGCGGTTTGAAACGGGTCGGCCTGTTGCTTAGAGGTCAGAAAAGAACTTTCTGTTGGACACCAGAGGTACAACTGGCAGTTAAAGAGAAGGCTGCATTCCAGTAGTAATTTTGAAGCAAACAGCCCTTAACTCGCATGCGGTATGTAGAAGCGCAAGGACAGCGAAAGCGGTGACGAATACCAAAGTTGATTTCATTGAGAAGTTCGGTGAGGTGCAGGAGTCGAGATACCAGACGAAAACGAGATAACCTTTCGCACCACCCACGGCTTACGAAGTGAAAAGAGTGGCAGTCTAAAGGGCTTTAAGGACATGTCTATACACCGTCTTACATCATGACGAACTTTATTTCCTTTATCTCCAAACCTGCAAAGATCACCTGTGCCAGGAAGAGAATAATCATTCCTTAGGTGGTCCTGCCATTTAACCATCATTATGTGCCGAAGTCAGAGTTGCCAACGCATTATTAGAAGATACCTAGGATTATTAGAACAATCCAGTCATCAAAAGATGCAGTGGCCCGAAAGCGAAATAAGAACATGATGCGGCAGACGCGAAGTTGGTACACGTATATTCCTTCCCCCTCCCGCTCCACGATACACTAGGTTACTGATATGTTTCACTATATAAACGTAATTGGTATTCAAACTTCAGACATCTTGACTCACTCGAATCGAAGAGTGTTGCACTAGCATATCCTGCTGCAATCACACCAATCAGCAATTTATTCCCATTTGTAAGTGGAAAAGATCTTCTGACAGAAGTAACAGCATCAACTAATATTTATGACTGCTCATAGAGAACTCATACTCACTTGTGACAGCGAAAGCAAAGCTTCAATGGCCTCATTATGATTCCGCTATTATCCATCCGATAAATGCGTCTGTTTTTTTCCCATCTATTTGCTTTGCTTTTTGATTTTAGCACACAGCTGCCTAAAAGAAAAAATGGGCATTATAAAAATGGGGTTGCGTTGGCAGCTTTAAAAAACAACCACACCTGGAAATTCCAACTCGTTTCTGAATTCGGGAGGAAGTACAAACTCCGAAGAGTTCATCACTGAAGCTGCTTTAGCTAGCAGCAGCAACGGGTGCGTTGTACGGCTCTCATTTTTGGATATTGCTGAAATAGCCGCGATGATGTTTCGCTCAGAATCGGACACTTTCTTTGCTCTATCGTCGTCTCTACCCTTCGCAGCAAACACAGCGGCGTTCTGAAATTGCTGACCTCTCAAACACGAAACGTTCATTTCCAGAAAGTACTCTCACCTTTTCACACATTTCCTCGCTAGTTGATGGTAAGTTTTCATCGGCATTCACTTCAGAGTTTTCACAACGGTGGCATATCCATCGTCCTTTCGGCAGATCATCAATTGTTAACGGTGGTTCGCTAAAAGGAACATTTCACTGAAAGATGGAAGAATGCTGGCTTACTGGCACAATAGATGAAATGAAGCAGGGCAGTCATCACAACAGACCAGCTGGCCGCCTTCTCGACAACTAACGCAAAATCGACTGTTGAAATTAGAGCCACGGATACGAAAGGATTTGTTCGAATCTGTCTTTGGCTTGCTACGAAATCCGGGTGGTGCTATTATAGCTTCTATTTGCTAAAATATATTATATCAAATATAGCATAAAACAAAACAGCAAAGTTAGTTTAAATTAAGATACATTACAAAACAAAGAAAGCTGCATAGTACAGAAAGTCTAACAAAAACGGTTGAGGGGCAAATCGCAAGTAAGTGCCATTTTCTTGTGAATCACTGACGTGCATTCTGCGCGAGACTGCATACAATATTGATTCATACATAGTGAAAGAGACGATATATAGGCAATAACATAACTCTA